CCTATAACTTTAATCATATGTACATTCTAACAGTGAAAGACAGAATCCCAAGGAAAATTCCAGAAAATCACATCATATGAATTTATAAAAATTGATAACCATCTGATGAGGAAAAATAAGCATTCTTTGTAAGTGGGCAAACCTGCAAAATCAGCAAGGGGTCAAATACTTATTTCCCCCACTGTACGTTAGATTATTCATGTGTTGGTTCAAATCTCCCATCAGAATACTCTGTGATTCCTAGAATTGTGTCCAAAAACCTATGAACATAGAATAGAATAGAATAATTTGTTGGTCCCTAAGGGGGGAAATGTACACGTTACAGCAGAAAAAAGGGAAAAAGAACAGTGGTGGCTTAAATGAATAAAGGTTATTTACTATGCAACAAGATAAAGGTAAATTAAGTTATGAAAATATAATTATTCAAATAAGAAAATAAAATTAAATGAAATACAGCAGAACCTCTATAACAGAGTCTAACTGGTTCCAGGAGGATTTCTGTGTTAAATATTGGTGTGTTGGTTCAAATCCTCCATCAGAATACTCTGTAATTCCTAGAATTGGTTCCAAAAACCTACGATAACTCCTTAATAAATACTGAGATAATCACACATAGCAAGAAAACAAATGACTTCTAGAAGAGAGATGGAAAAAGAACTAAATGATGCAGAAATAATGAGTAAAAAGGGTTTTTATTGTCCCTTTAGCTCAGAGACTGAAGAACGGAGGTAGAGGTGGAGACTGAGATACAGGACCAGCCCTAACTCACTCTGACTTTACACACGATACCTACACACACTTACACTAGCTATTCTGATTTAGTTTTTATATTTTATATATTTTTATCTATGACTTCGTCCTGCCCTCTTGAAAGAGCTTCTTACACCAAGCAATCAGAGTGCTGAACACTTAACCCGCCCATCATCGAATACCCCCCCTTAACACTGAAATTGCACATTCTACTTGCACTAACTCAAAACACACACACACACACACACACACACACTGAACCAACTCAAAAAAATACATACACACACATACACACACACACACACACGCTGATGCTTTCTTCATGCCTTTTACTTGAATGACTGTATTGCAAATATTGAACACTACAATTGATCACTTTATATTTATTATATCACACAAATGTCCACACCTAAAGTCTGAGTCTATGTCTATGTCTGCATGGGAAATATTGCACATTACAATTGATCACTTTATATTTATTATATCACAAATTTCCACACCTAAAGTCTGAGTCTACGTCTATGTCTGCATGGGAAAGCAATTCTTTGTCTGACCAGCACATGTAAAGAAATTGACAATAACGCCACTTGACTTGTATGTTGGAAATTTCAAATATTTGATCAGATTTCCCTCCGGATGTTTGAGAATTCGTCCGTTTATGCGATTGCAGTTTTGCCCCGGCTGTCTGGGCGGGAGCGGCGCGCCGTGCTGGGGGGCGTGGCCTCGGTGCTCAGGAACGCGGCGGTGGGCGGCCTGCTGGTGGCGCTGGACTTCCTGGTTTTCTGGATCCTGGACCAGGTGCACCACCAGGTGAAGTCGGACGTGGTGGCCAGAGGTGAGCCGCTAAGAATCAGAATTGTAGTGGATTAATATTCTACAGTGAATATATTATCACAAAAGAATTAGTAGTAAGTGCATTAATACATGTATATCTAAAAGAAAAGTAGAAGTAATATGTAGCTGGGATATATATATATACATATATAAACATATAAAAGGAAGAAACCATGGTTCAAAGGCTAAAACATAATAGAGGTGGAGTCCCGATAGAGGAGGGGCTCAGGGTGGAGCCCCCAAGAATCGAAAGGTTTAAAAGCAGGTGTCGGTCCCAAGAAAGTCAGTTGTTAGCCGGCTAACAGCTCATGTGGATCTGCTGCAATAAACCACTTGGACCTGGATCTAGCGGCCTCTGCTTGTTCTTTTGGACTTAGGATAATTCTTCAACTTTGGACTTAGGATAATTCTTCAACTTTGGACTTAGAATAATTCTTCAGCTTCTCCTTCAAGAACTTAGTATTTTTGCGAGACTTAGAATAATTCGACAAGTCGTTGAAAGGATATTTCACGACAGAATCAGAATCAGAATCAGAATTAGGTTTATTGCCAAGTAGGTTTTTCACCTACAAGGAATTTGATTTGGTGTTTGGTGCACAACACTTCTATGACAAACAAGAAACGACATACAATGTA